GCGGCGGGGGGGGGGGGGGGGGGGGGGGGGCAGCAGCAGCTTATTTGCATTTAAAGAGAGACACACTAAGGCCCTGTCCACACGAACACGGTTATTTTTAAACCACAGCTTTTTCTACACGGTTTGGCCGTTCGTCCACATGCAAACGCAGCACCAGGTCCCTGAAACCGAACATTTTTGGAAACGCCTGCCAGGGTGAAGATTTTCAAAAACTCCAGTTGCAGTGTTATCGTGTAGACAGCGAAACCGGAGTTTTTGGCTTGTGACGTCGGAGCCTGCGCTGTTATCTCTGCCTACTGGAAACTTTTTCAGGCTTCTGATTGGCCAACATGGCTTTACGGTTGAGATTATATCGCCACCTGTTGGTTTGGCATGCTCTTGACAGTGCTTCACAGCATGCGTTTGCGTTTTCATGTGGACGGAGATTTTTTTTAAAACGGAAGAAGGAAAAATGTGTATTTACAGCATAGAATAATAAATGATCTGTGGTGTATTTTGAGCTGAAACTTTACAGACACATTCTGGGGACACCTGAGACTTATGTTACGTTTTGTAAGAAGGGCATAATAGGACCTCTCTGAAACTTTTACTTAGCAAATGTTACCATTTTGTGATGCAACTCAAATGCAATGTCCTATGTGTTCCTGTAGAAAATGGCACCTTTAACTCAAGCAGTGAAGCAGAGAGAAAGACACAGTCCTACTATCTTTCCTGTCTTAATGAACAGCGAATCGAAGAGCTTGGAGCCCAACCACTCATCGACTTGATTGCAAAGGTGAGTGTTTCTGTGCCGCCCCCTCTGGTGTGGAGGATAAACAGTGCAAACTCAGTGTCAGTACATTTCTGTAATATAAAAAAAAAAAAAAATCTGTGTATTCCTATTAATTTGCAGTCATTTTACATATGTTAATGAGGGACACAAAAACAGCAATTTTGTTGCATGACCTTTGATTTAATTTGATGCTTGATTAAGTTTTTTTGATTGCTTTTCTGTGCATCTCCTAAAAATAGACTCCTTTATTTGAACTGAGCACCGACACTATCAATTCCTCTCGGTTTAAAATCAGCGAGCCTTGAAATGATGTAGACATCCTTCAGCGAGAGACGTTTTCATACTCTTCTATCTCTCTGAATCAGCCATTTTGAAGAAGAAAGCTCTGAAACTAACCCTCGGCACAGACCTGAAAGATTAATCCATGTTACAGACACAAAGCAGTGATGTCAAACAGCACTTTATCTTGCTAATTTACAGCCTCCCCACACACAGCTGCCTCCTGCAAGGTTTAAAAGAGGTATGGTTAGGAAAATGGAGGACGAAAATCTACAGTGCCTCTGATGAGCTGTCTTTTGAACACAAACGCTGCTCTTCTCTTCTGTATTTCTCTCATTCTGCCGCTCTTTCTGTCATCTCGTGTCATCGGGATCACAGGGATAGAGCGAATAGTTTTGCAGAGAGCCAAGAATAGCTTTATTCTCAGAGGTGAGACAGATTTAATTGGCTTTAATGAGGTGTTGGCCTGAACTCATCAGAGTCATGTTCCTCAAGTTGTTGCCTTTTTTTCACACTTGCATAACTAAATATTTTTGGTCTAGTCATTTGAAAATTAGAATGAAATGGCATTCGTACCACAGCTCATGTTACTTTCATAATTTGACATAATTCAGCAAGAAAACCAATGTGAGTTGGAACTTTGGCTTTCCATATGAGAATGGAGAGAGAGACCTGAATGTGAATTAGCCATCAATTGTGGAGAGGATTTTTTAATTTTATATATATATATATATATATATATATATATATATAATTCGAATTATTATTGAATTATAATTATAATTTTGAAATCATGTTAAGTTTTCTTCACATTCTGCACATTCACAATATGAAACATAAATGAAGTACTGTATATTAGATAATATATCTATAGGCAAAAAAGATGATTCACTGTATGTGGGCATTTATAGACCCCACATTTTAAATACCTTGGACATTTTTGCTCCAAGCCTTGGTTTTACATTTACACATTTGGTGGACATGTTTATCCCAAAATGATGAGGAATCATGCACAATATGTCAAGAAACAGATATAATGTAAATAGGGTCAATTTTTTATTTCATGTTAAGTCCACAACAAGTACCACCTTAGTCTTTTTGCAAAAACTGATGTTTTTCTTTGTGTGTGTGTAGATAGGGGGCTGGAACATCACAGAGTCCTGGGACAAAGACAACTTTCTGGACGTTTTAAAGATAGTTTCTGGACCCTACAGAGCTCAGCCCTTCTTCACTGTCGGTGTCAGCGTCGATCCCAAAAACTCCAACAGTAATGTCATTCAGGTACATTTACTCACTGTATTAAGTTTAATAAACTCTGCTGAAAGGGTTTGTTTGATTGTATTTGTCGTATTTATCACGTCTCTGGTGTTTACTCACCTGTGTAAACTTCCTGTTTCCTCAGGTTGACCAATCAGGACTCTTCCTCCCATCCCGAGATTATTACCTCAATAAGACCAATGAGAAGGTATGAAGCAGAACTTAACGTCTCAGTTTACACTGGAATGTCAAGAGCTTTGAGTCTTTTGCAGCTTTCAGTCCATGTCTAATGCTGTCTGTGCTGGTTTGTGTGTGTTTAGGTGTTGAAGGCTTACCTGGATTACATGGTCGAGTTGGGATTGTTGTTAGGAGGAGACAAGAATTCCACCCGAGTTCAGATGCAGCAGATTTTGGACTTCGAGACGGCTCTGGCTAACATCACAGTGCCTCAGGACGAGCGGCGGGACGAGGAGAAGCTCTACCATAAGATAACCATAGCTGATCTGCAGGTGTGTGTGCAGCCTCCTGAGGGGTTCACTGGGTTTGGAGAAGTGCTGCGGTAAACGCATGAAAGTGTGCTGATGAGGCTCAGAAGTTCTGAGCTGAAGGCTTGGGATCATTAGTTTGAATCATTAAATCATAATAATGAGTGTGTTATACACATATTGCTTATTAAAGGTGTTTGTATGAGATACAAGAAGAGAGAGTTCATGAATAATATACAGTGCTGTGAGTCTGTTTTCACACTATCTATCTATCTATCTATCTGTCATTCTATCTATCTATCGTTCTATCTATATAGTTCAGTCATGAAACTCTAGATGGCGCAGGCTGACGCGTTGTTAACGTAACTGATGATATTCAGAGAGTTAAACGACTTTGCACAAGCTGACTGGTTCATGCTGCATATGCAGCCAATGAGCTTACTCCTTGCATTTATATGGCTGGCTAGCATTCACTTGAGATTCCTGCAGCGCACTTTCAGAGTTTCTCTGAAACCCTCTACCTTCCCCAGCTCCACCTGTATAGATCTGCTATGGGTTTATTTTATATGCTATTTGTGCAGCAGCAGCATGTCTTAAATACTCACGGCACCGTATCGCCATATGCATTGGCAGTAGCAAGTTCCTGTACTTGCTTGCAGCAGCAGCATGCAGAATCGAATGGCCCTTGACATTCTGCTAGCCTCTGAGGGCAGGACATGTAAAGTCATTGCAACTGAGTGTTGCTCGTACATTGCAGACAATACTGGAAAAGCGGTCCACAATCTAGCTAAAGTTTTGCATGAACGAATAGCTAAACTTAATGAAGATCATGGTCTTTTCTCATCTGATTGGGACACATGGTTTAAATCAATATTGGGACCACTTTGGAATCATTTAAAAGCACCTTTGGTGGTCACTGTTTCAGGAGTGTTTATCATCTTGCTCTTGTATATTGTTGATTTGTCTTGTAAGACGCTTGACTGTCACAGGGCCATCAAGGCCATCACCCAGTGTTAGACACACTCCCCCAACCGATGCTGGTACGCAGCATGACAGAAATGACCTTTTCTTTTAAAGGAACACTCCACTTTTTTTGAAAATAGGCTCATTTTCCAACTCTCCTAGAGTTAAACAGTTGAGTTTTACCGTTTTCGAATCCATTCAGCCGATCTCTGGGTCTGGCGGTAGCACTTTTAGCTGTATCTTAGCATAGATCATTGAATCTGATTAGACTGTTAGCATCTCGCTCAAAAATGACCAAAGAGTTTCTATATTTTTCCTATTTAAAACTTGACTCTTCTGTCTGTAGTTACATCATGTACTAAGACCGACGGAAAATGAAAAGTTGCGATTTTCTAGGCCGATATGGCTAGGAACTATACTCTCATTCCGGCGTAATAATCAAGGAGCACAGCAGGCGCAATGATATTACGCAGCGCCTGAAAGATAGTGGAGTGTTCCTTTAACATTGTCATATTCATCACCATGCTAAAATCTTCCGAGAGTTGTCATGATTGAACTCTATCTATCTATCTATCTATCTCATTCTCATCTTGGCTCAATAGAACGCAACCGATTCTCTTTTTTCCTTCATTCTTCTCTGCATATCACTATTCATTCTTTTTGTGTGTGTCTTCTGGCTTTTTTCCATCATTTAATTATTAAGATTTTTTTTCTTTGAGCACCTGCGTTCAGGAAACTTTTGTTTTGTGAAGGCTCCTGTGATTTCCGTGGCAACAGTTGCTGAGCAACTGTACAGTGAAGTAGTGAGGCGGAGGGGTGGCTGTGACAGCTGATCGCTCACTGATTAAATTATGTCTGCTGTCAGTATCAAGGGAACAAGGCCAATCTATATGCATCTTTTGAATAAGACCAATTTTGTCTAGTTGTTTTACACAATTAAACAGACATCAGTTAATTATGTGAATATACAATTGTGGCGTTTTTATGTTTTCTTCATTTATAGTTTATTATTTATAGTATAATTCAAATTCTTGAGAAATTGGTAAGAAAACCATTTAACAGAATTGCTACAAAATTACCAGCAGTTCTTCATTCTACTGCCTCCACGATACATTATACATTCATATCACTGTTCCCATGTGTGTGATGAGCAAACGTCTCTGGCAGCCGTGCAGCTCAGATGTGTGGTGACACCCAGGAGGATTCTTACATTTGACTTAACATGCTGAGTTCTTATTTGAGAAATAAAACAAAATAACATGCATATGTCATTTTTAGGTTCTACGATTTGTGAATTTATAGCAGCGCTCTTTACTCTTCTTGCTCGCAACAAAAAAACAACAGATTTGATTTCTTCAACTTTAGCAGAATGTGCTGGAACACAACAGTAACTCAATAATAAACACCTTTCCCCACACTTTATGGACTTAATCTCATATGCGTAAAGATCCCTTTACACGAAGATCTATGTGAAAATGCATTGTTTCCAGCATTTACTGGTAAATGGATGCTTTTCTAGGAACTCATGTGTCCTGCGATCAGTTCCTGCCAGATCCGTTGCAGTTTGTGTTAAACATACAGAAGGATTGATGTATAAAGTGAAATTGAATACATATGTTAATTTAGCCGCGTGAAACATATTATTTATCTCATATGTTAATATGCTGAGTTTGACAGCCCTTATTTTAACAGAAAAAATACACACTTTAGCTTTAAAGGTGCTTGTTTGCATGATTTTTTTTATTTATTAATTTTTTTATATCAACTCTCATAGACAAGACTTGCAGCAGTCAATTCTTATTTCGCATATCTTTATGCAGAGCATCCTCAAGGGTTCACTTGGTTTTGGAGTTTATTAAAAAACAACACAGCTTCTCATAACCATAAGAGAGAGAAAACAGTCCATTTTAGTCAGCTAATCAGTTTTCATCTACTATAAATCCACAGTGGAGATGAGGGCTGTGTGCTGAGTGAGGCGTTCAGCTGTGTGTTTGCGATGGAGGTCTGTGCTGTATTACACCCAAGGGCAGAGAGGCTAGAAGGAATGCAAACATGCGGGTTATTGGCTCTAGCCTGCTGATTATTTGAGCGTTTTGTGCGAGAGCGAATCCGAACACGCATTCTGTGTCCTTTTCATGGCTGAAAGAGAAATCATTTAAGGGAAAGTATCAAAACGAGCAGAGCTCTCACAGCCAAGGTTATGGAAAAATGAAAATTGATCAAAATTAAAAGGAGCACTCCATATATTGGTGGCTTACAAAAAGATTTATTGAAGTGCATTGCCCCTTCACAAATACTACTCACTTGATTATCGTACCCCCCGTTCCTGAAGTTTCAACTGGAGAGTAAAATAATTATGAGTGATATAAAGTCACCTTGTGAGATATAAAGTTGCAATTGTAAGATATAAAGTGACAATTACGACAAATTGCAAGTCACAAAGTGGACTGTAAAAATAAAAATGTGTTATGGTGAGATTTAAAGTGACGCTGCAAGATATAAACTCACAATGTGAGTTATAAAGCCACATTTACAAAAACAAGGTCAGATTGTGAAATATCAATTCACATTGCAAGATAAAATGATAATATAAAGTGACAATTACTAGAAATAAAGTTGCAATTGGAACATTAAAACGTTTTTTCAAACTTTACTATATGTTGTATAAGAAATTACTATTTAAATCTTTCGACTTAAAAACGTGAAATAAAAAAAAGCATTAAAAAACATCTAAAGCAACACACAACACTTACGAGATTTAATGTCACACTGTAATTTATGAAGCCACATTTACAATAAATAAAGTAGCATAAGCTATGTTTCCATCACCTTGTTTTTATGTGCATTTTGAAGTACTGCATCAGAAACGAGTGATGGAAACGCCAAATTTCGAATAAAAATCCCTTAATTTACTAAATAGTTTTTATGCTTGCTTGAGGTGGTTTTTGACTTGTGCGAAAAAGGGTTAATGCGAATAATGGGAGATAGAAACGCATTTGCCACGTGCATCAAAAAAGTCATGTGACTTTGCGCTATGGGACGGCAAAACCTGACTAACTCTCGTTGCAGAGCATCTGAAATGTTATGGAGATTCTGAAATGCCTGAGCAAAGTCCGTCGTCAAAGTATTTCTAATTGCCTTCCAGAACTTCGTGCATGACTGCGTTCCCAAACAGCAGACATCCACATCCGAAATCAATGATTGCATTTTTTATGTTTCGTCTGCTCGCTTTGAGGCACAAATAGTTTATTATATATGAAAATTATTATGTTCAGTGGCTTCTCCTACTTTTCTTAGTGGTATTTAGCATGAGTTCAATATCGTGCATATTCATTACCGTGATATATTGCATTACCGAATACCGGCACAAGTCTAGTTTATCAGGAAGTGACCATTTTTTCTCTCTGACTCTTTGGATGGAGACAGTGCTTATTCGCAAATGTTTTATGCGATAATCCAATTTTGCGCATAAGTTACATTTGCAACTTTGGATGGAAACCCGGCTATTGTGAGATAAAAAGACAATTGTGAGAAATAAAGTGATAATTATGGGAAATGAAGTCACAATTTTGAGAATATTTTAAGAAATAAAGTAACATTGCAACATATAAAGTTGTAATTCTAAGATATAAAGTTAGATTTTTATTTATTTATTTTGGAAATGGGCTTCCATAATTTTGGCGCATTGAAAACTTTACTGAAAAGCTTAGCTGAAATATTTTGCTGTTGTGTAATGCTGCATCCACACCAGCAGGTGTCAGTGGTGGTCAAGGGCGGTTCTCGCTGTTTTGTTTTGTTTTGTTTTTGGGTGCCAAAATGGCCCAAAATCTTTCCTAACATAATGGACCCTGTTCACAAGACTGATTACGGTTTAACAGTCATCAGCATCGAAAATCCTTCAACGTTTCTTATTAGTGCTGTCAAACGATTAATCGCGATTAATCACATCCTAAATACAAGTTTTTGTTTACATAATATACGTATGTGTACTGTGTATATTTATGTATATATAAATACACATACATGCATGCATATATTTCAGAAAAAAATTTGTTTTGTTTGTACATAATAAATATACACAGAACACACACATATATTATGCAAACAAAAACTTTTATTTTGAATGCGATTAATCGCAATTAATTGTTTGACAGCACTATTTCTTATATTACTTTTTTTTTTTTTAAATCTATGTAAATTTATAACACTATACTTTGTATTATATCACCTTTGCATCAAATTACAAAAAAAAAAAAAAACTTCTTAACGCTAATGTGAGGGGGTTTGCAGCGTCTATGGGAAGGACGGTAAATTTAACCTTGTTCTCTCTTCTGACTGCCATTTTCAGTTTTTCAAAATTTTTTCCGCTTTTTTTTGAAAGTCATGAAACACTATCGTGGAGTTCTTCTTTTGCTATTTGAGCAAATGGGAATGCAAAAAAATATATTTGTGGTACTCTCCCATCCACTGCTCTTGAAGTTAACCCAACTATGACGAATGTGACAAAGGTCCATCTGACAGTTTATTAGTGCATTCAGATGGAAATATTCAGCTGACATTATGCCGTTTGTTTCGGTCATAGGTGCTGGCTCCAGCAGTTGAATGGCTGGATTATCTGAACTTCGTCCTGCCCCCGCTGGAGCTGAATGACACTGAGCCTGTGGTGGTCTACGCTAAAGAATACCTGCAACAGGTTTCAGATCTCATCAACAAGACCGACCACAGGTACGGCTGTCTCCATGGTTACAGCTAATCAGAGTTCAGGAAGAGGACATCCCCTCCGAGACGTCTGTTTAGATTGTGTATCAGAACATTCAGTGCTAATAACAGCCTCTCTCTCTCTCTTGCTGTCTCTGTTTCTGTCTTCCTGTCTGAGAATATGAATACATTTATTTTTACTGCTTCTTTAACACCGTCTCTCTCTTTACCTGTATAAATAAATGAATGCACATGCAGAAATGGTCCCGTTTTTCAATATGTGGATGCATTCGCTCTCTTTCTTCCCCAGTCTTTTGAATAATTACATGATCTGGAATCTGGTGCAGAAAGGAGCGTCCAGTCTGGACCAGCGCTTTGAGAACGCTCAGGATAAGCTGCTGGAGAGCCTCTACGGCACTAAGAAGGTGTGTGTCGTTGGATTGTGTTCATGCCAAAGTGATCATTCTGTTGTCATTTATTTGCTCACCTTCATGTTGTTTCAAACCTGTTTCATGAAAACAGGTTTTTTTCTCATATAATAGAAATGAACGGGTACTAGGATTGTCAAGCTTTGAAAAAAAACAAAAAACGTCCATACACAATATTACAATATTACATGCTTTGTGTGATAAGCAGAAATTTGAGCCATTATTCGCTGAAAATCTTTTTCACACCTCTCTAATTCTCATTTGCGTTAATGCATATTCAAACTTGATGAGTCAAACCTTCAGTGTGTTTCTGATGCTAAGCAATATAGACTTGAAATATAGCGTCAGAGTTGTATGGACTAATTTGATATATTTATGGTCTTTTTCAGCTCATTGGTTCCAGTCCCCATTCACTTGCATTGTACAGATTAGTCTAGAGCACCTGCTGAACTTTTTGTTTGCTTACAAGGAAGAAAATAATATAGATTTAAAGTCACCCCCTTGTGAAAAACAAGTACACTTGACTTTAGTATACTTTTAAAATGAATTCTTATTGTGGAAATAATACACTTTAAAAATATACTTAAGTGCAAACTTAATGAACTGTTTATAATGTTGTAATGTACTAACACTTTGTTGCATGTCAATTGCAATAAATGCAAATTCACTATAGTTTAAATGTATATTATATGCAGTTAGTTGAACGTAGTGCTTTTTAAAACCACTTAAGAAAGACTTAAGTATGAATTTTTATAGTAATGTATTTAAATATATTTGTAATTCCGTATTAGTTGCAATTTAGTACATTTACAATAAATGTAATATCAAATAACACTACAAAAACACACTGTTAAAACAAAATAAGTGTGCTTCTTTAAAGCACTACAAAAGATTATTAAACAATGATTTAAAATGTAGTTTAAAGTAAAACTTTAATTCAACATTACAAAGTGTACTTTTTAAAGTGTCTCTTTTGAAGTGGACTTACTGTAAGTGGCCTTTTATTTTATTAACATTATATTAACTAAGTACAGAATATATATATATATATATATATATACACACATATATATATGTATATACTTTTTAAGATTTGAAGTACACTACAAGTGCAAAGTTAATACAAGTAGGCACACTTTTTCCTAAGGGACATAAGGGTTGAGCCAATTTTGACAGAAGAAAAAAAAAAGAAGAATTTTAGAATTATGTGAACTTTTCCATTAAAGAAAGAATCTGGAATGTCTTTTTTTTTAACAGTGATTTGTTGTTCAGTTGGAAGATGTTTCAAATTGACTTAAAAATCTGGTGCCCATTTTGTGTTTTTTATGATTGCTTGTTTCAGGATTGTCAGTTAAGTTCATCTGCATGTCATTTGTCAATATGTCTGTTTCATATTCAGTCCTGCACTCCACGCTGGCAGACCTGCATTGGGAACACAGATGACACTCTTGGTTTTGCATTGGGTGCTCTTTTCGTCAAATCCACTTTCGACAAACAGAGCAAAGAAATAGTGAGTCATGGAAAACCATATGTCATGTTTAGACTAAAAACTACTGCACATGTATTTGAAAACGCTGATGAATGTTGAACAGCAAGTTTCTGTCCTCATGTTTAATTCAAAATCTCATTGGTGGCGTGTGTTTGCCACCTTGTGGCAGCAGAGTAAATGACACAGTTCTTAACTCCATCTTTCTGTCATAACGCAGGCGGAGGGGATGATCAATGAAATCCGCACAGCTTTCAAAGAAGCGCTGGATGATTTGAACTGGATGGATGAACAGACCCGACAAGCTGCCAAGGACAAGGTGAGCGAGAGTGAGAATGACAGAGACAGCAGCATGACTGGATAACCCAAACTTGTGGTTTCAAGACTGCAAAAACAGCTTAACTGTAAACACTTTGCATTGCCTGCCAAAAAATCAGGATAAAGCGTCTTTTCTGGCTCTAGGCGGATGCCATCTACGACATGATCGGATTTCCAGACTTCATTCTGGACTCCAAAGAGCTTGATGATGTGTATGAAGGGGTGAGTCAGCAAATGGCTTTTGTTTCAGTTTTTAGCATCACAAACCTTTTTTCCAGTTTTAAATGATTTGCAGCATGACTGAATGAAGCTTAAATTGTTTAAATATTTAAAATAATAAGAATTCTGCTTTAGTAATTAGATGAAATTAAATTAAATTTAACAGTACCATTCAAAGGTTTGGAGCAGTACATTTTTATTTATTTTTTTCCTTCCTGAAAGAAATAATACAAAAATAACACATTGATCAAAACCAACAGTAAAGACTTGTACACTGTTCCAAAAATATCTTTCAAATCAATGCTGTTTTTTTTTTTCAGAGAATCTTGAAAAAAGTATCAGTATCACACAGTTCCCACAAATATTTTGATAATCAGAAATGTTTCTTGAGCAGCAAATCAGCATATTAGAATGATTTCTGAAGAATAATGTGACACTAAAGACTGGAGTAATGATGCTGAAAATTCAGCTTTGATCACAGCAATAAATTACATTTTACAATATATTCACATAGAAAACTGTTATTTTAAATAACACAATTTTACCGTTTTTACTGTATTAAATAAATGACTAAATAAATGCAGCCTGGGTGAGTAGAAGACTCAAACAAACAAACAAATAAATAACTACAAAAATAAAAATTAATAAAAAAACATACCAAGATGTTTATTATATTATATTATATTATATTATTATAAACTGATTAAGTATATTTGTAAGTATTACAAATATACCAGCTAACAGGCCACATGATGTGTTTTTATTGTAGTATGAGGTTACAGAAGACAACTTCTTCCAGAATATGATCAACTTCTACAACTTCTCCGCACGAGTGATGGCAGACCAGCTGCGCAAGCCGCCCAACAGAGACCAGTGAGTGTAAGAGTGTGTGTTAAGAGAGGAGCATGTGAGACGTACTGTGAGCTGACGGCTGATTTCTGACTGCTGTAGATGGAGCATGACTCCACCCACGGTGAACGCATACTACATGCCCACCAAGAACGGGATCGTCTTCCCCGCCGGCATCTTACAGGCCCCCTTCTACGCCCAGCATCACCCCAAGTGAGCGGACATGCAGCAGTTAGCATGTCACTAACGGACCTGTTTTTCTTCCTGAGGTTGTAATAACTCTGATGATTTGTGTGTCTCGCAGAGCTTTAAACTTTGGTGGCATTGGAGTGGTGATGGGACATGAGTTAACTCATGCCTTTGATGACCAAGGTTAGTTCACCTTCATACATGCTTGTCTTCCGCTGATGCCCAATAATATTGTTTCTTCCAACAAAAAGTCAACATTTAGCTTCAGTTAATATCTTCCACCCTCTTTCTGACCCTTAGAATTAAACTTTCCACCTTCAATAATACACTGTACTAATGTAATACATTTGGAAATGACATACAGTAAAAGAGTCGAGACTGAAGGCAATGTTTTCTGACACTTAACTGCATATTAATTTCAAATATATTAAAATATAAATGTATATTAAGCGCAATTACTGTAGCTCAACGTTTCTTGACACACTTAAAGGCACAGTTCACCCAAAAACTAAAATTCTTTAAAGTTGTTCCAAACCTGTATGAGTTTCTTCCTTCTGTTCAACACAAAAGAAGATATTTAGAAGAATGTTGGTAACCAAACAGTTTTTGGTAGCCATTGACTTCCATGGTAGGGGGAAAAAAAAATACTAATGTCTACCAGTAACTGTTTGTTTACCAACATTTTTCAAAATAGCTTTTTGGAGCTACACGAGGGTGAGTAAATAATGACAGAATTCTCTTTTTTTTGTGTGTGTGTGAACTATCCCTTTAAGTACTTCATCTTCATGTGTAATTTCATAAATCTGTTATCTTTGAACTAAACTAGAAGAAGCATTCATGGTAAACTAAAATATACTTTAATATAATTTCTATTGAAACTTGTATGTTATATATTTAAACTAGTGCTGTCAAACGATTAATCGCGATTAATCGCATCCAAAATAAACATTTTTGTTTACATAATATATGTGTGTGTGTACTGTGTATATTTATTATGTATATATAAATACACACACACATGCACGTGCATATATTTAGAAATGTATTTACATGTCTATATATTCATGTCATTTATATTATAAATAAATAAATGTAATATATAAAAATAAATTATTTCTCTGAAATACATACATGCATGTGTGTGTATTTATATATACATAATAAATATACACAGTACACACACACATATATTATGTAAAAACATTTTTATTTTGGATGCGATTAATCGCGATTAATCGTTTGACAGCACTAATTTAAACATATTTGCAGTTACACATTTGTGATGAAGACATTGCAATTTAGTGCATTTAAAATAGATTAAATATTGAATAACACACTACAGTTTTAAAACATCAAAAGAAGTGTACTTTAAAGCACAAAAAAAGACAGTTTACAAAATTCTGTAAAATAAAAATTCTGATTCAACATTTTTACAAAGTGTTTAGAAACAACAGTCATGAAAATGTCTCTCTTTAAGTTCACTTAAGTGCCCTCAGATTTCATCAGTATGAATCCTTTAATATTTGAAGTACACTCGATATAATTAAGTGCACTTCTTTTTCACAGCTTCTTTGCAAAACCTTTGCGTTATCTTGCATCAGGTTAACAGAACAAATCCATGCCTGTTTGCAGACCCATTTTTGCTGCTTCATTTCAGTGAAGGTCTGTTTGAGTTCTGAAAGTTGGTAGACTGAGGACAATTCAATATTGCATTATATAATGCTTTAATTCTGTTCCACAGGCAGAGAGTATGACAAAGATGGAAACCTTCGGCCATGGTGGCAGAACTCCTCGGTGGACGCGTTTAAGAACCGCACCGAGTGCATGATCGATCAGTACACTCAGTACACCATCAACGGAGAGCACATCAACGGCAAACAGACGCTGGGAGAAAACATCGCAGACAACGGCGGCCTGAAAGCTGCCTATCACGTAGGTTACGCTTCAGCTTTTGCATTGTTTGGAAAAACCAAATTGTACATATGTGACCCCGGGCAACAAAACCAGTCATAAGGGTCCATTTTTTTTCAAAATTGAGATTTATACATCATCTGAAAGCTGAATAAATAAGATTTCCATTGATGTATGGCTTGTTAGGATCGGACAATATTTGGTTGAGATACAACTATTTGAAAATCTGGAATCTGAGGGTGCAAAAAAATCTAAATGTTGAGAAAAATCACCTTTAAAGCTGTCCAAATGAAGTTCTTAGCAATGCATATTACTAATCAAAAATTAAGTTTTAATATATTTACAGTAGGACATTTACAAAATATCTTAATGGAACATGATCTTTATTTAATATACTAATGATTTTTGGCATAAAAGAAAAATCTATCATTTTGACCCATACAATGTATTTTTGGCTAATGCTACAAATATACCCCAGTGACTTAAGACTGCTTTTGTGCTCCAGGGTCACATATGCAACAAGAGGTGCAGGCTAAATCTGAGGAAATGAAGCAGAAGTCAAGCCCCAGTCGTGTCCAATTCTGGACTGTTTGCCAGCCTTATAAACTCTTTCTCAGTGTTTTTAGAGGCTTGTATGGGCACTCAAGTTATTTATTCATAATGATTTAATAATTTAAATGACAGGCCTGAGAGTGGATGTCCACCATAGGAGTGGATGGTCATTTAAAGCCATTAGAGAAGGAAGTTACATTTTATAAAAATCATCCCATAGGATGATTCTGTGGTTCACGAGGCTTCCCCTAGTGGTCACAGATATAAATCACCATACATTCATTTCTTTTCAAGGTAAAGCAAGCGTTGCAGTTCAATTTAGTAAAGATAATATAGACTGATTTGGAGATCTGTTTGTTTTGCAGGCGTATCGCTCATGGGTGAAGAAGAACGGTGAAGAGAAGAGACTCCCAGCTGTCAATCTGACAAACGACCAGCTCTTCTTCGTAGGTTTTGCACAGGTATGAAAAGACAGACATAAAAAAGAAATAAGTTTGCAATAATAGTAACAAGTATGATGTGATACACCCACTGTGTAACTGCAAAAAAGACGCTGCGAGACCAAATAGAGACCAAATACTAACCTTAGTTTAGATGTCAGATAGCACGTATATGACATGCTGACAAAATAAGTAATGCATTTGCTAAATACGTCAAATAACATTTTAATGAATTTTAATAATAAAAAAACACTTACTACAACAAGGTTCTATGCTTTAGGTATTATGTACTAAGAACATTTTTTAGATTGTTGTTCATGTTAATAGATTTCAATTATAATAGAAAGTATCAGTTATAAAAATAAATGTATATATGCATGTACTGCTTTTCAAAAAATTTCAAAAAAATGTTTGAAAGATGTCTTTTACAGTATGTGCACCAAAACTGCTTTTATTTAATCAAAAATACAGTAAAAACAGTAACATTGTGAAACATTTTTTTTCAAACAGCAAATCATATTAGAATGATTTTTAAAGGATCATGTGACACTGAAGACTGAAGTAATGATGCTGAAAATTCAGCTTTGATCACAGCAATAAATTACATTTGAAAAAATTACAATATAAAACAGCTTTAAAAATTGCAATACTATTTCACAATATTGCTGTTTTGACTGGATTCTTTATCAAATAAATTGAGAATAAGAGACTTTTTTTCTAAATCGTTAAAAAGCTTTCTTAATCTTGGTAAATGTTAACATACAATAATTCTAGAATACATTAGAAGTTATTTGTATAATTTATAAACGATTGTTATGTTAACATATTAATGTTATATAACTTACAATGTTAATATATTAATAGATGTAGAAATTCATGTTGATTATTACTTAATATTAAATAATAATTATTTAGGTTAAACTTTATTGCGAAAATAAATTTTGTTTAATGTTCAAATATATAAAAATTGAATAAAAATAAAAATGAATTATTATTAAATATAGTTTAAAGGGTTAGTTCACCCAAAAATGAAAATTAGGCTGCGTTTTACTCACCCCCGAGGCATCCTAGGTGTATATGACTTTCTTCTTTCAGATGAATCCAGTCGGAGTTATATTAAAAGTTGTCTTTGATCTTTCAAGCTGTTTAATGCCACTCAGCGGGTGTTGCATTGCTTCAGTCCAAAAGAACTTAAATAAAAAGCGCCCATCCATAAAAAAAGTGCCTCACACTGCTCCGGGGGTGAACAAAGGCCTTCTGTGGTGAATCGATGCGTTTTTGTAAGAAAAAATATCCATATTCAAAACGTAATAATAACTCCGACTGGATTCGTCTGAAAGAAGAAAGTCATATACACCTAGATACACCTAGGATGCCTCCGGGGGTGAGTAAAACGCAGCCTAATTTTAATTTTTGGGTGAACTAACCCTTTAATTGTATTTTTGTAATCAAATATTAATGTATACTAGGGCTGTGACGATAAATCGATGCAGAATCGATTCGTGGATCGATTGCATCACGATTCTCTCTGGAATCGAGTCTAAGCTTATATCTTAACAGCAGATGGCGATCTACTCTAGTTTTTATCTGCACACTCAAATGCTCATGAAGAAGAGCTCTGAAGAGCGCTTGTGCGTTCGGCCGAGTCTGTAATTTCACCTCGGCTCAGAATGCTTTTAAGACGCCAGATTAATGTAAACACAGCCCACTGTGAACGCCCTTGTAATTCGCTTCAACCTTTTCAAATTTTATGAATGATTATTTTAGGTTCAAGTGTGTGTAAGGATTTGGAAACAAGCAGCGTACGGCTGTTTCTAAAGCATGCAGCGCCATCTGCTGTTCAAAACTACGCTCAGAATCGACTCGAGAAAGAATCGCTATGCATTCAGAAAATCTCAGAATCGATGCGGAATCATTTCTCGATTCGCGATGCATCGATTTATTTTCCCAGCCCTAGTGTATACTAATATAGTTTTATTGATATTATTAAATTAATAAAAATTTATATTAACTAATATATGATGTAAGTCATATACAACCTTATTGTAATGTGTCACCGATATTTTAACAGACAATATTTATGAAGCAAATAAGGCACTTGCTATAAGGTATTATTATACTTTAGCTATATTAGCACGGCCTACTTTACCATACAGCAGTAATAAAAAAAACCGACACAATGCAGAGCTCTGATTGTAAAAACATGGTCTCAGATGCACGTTCCTCTGGCTCTCCTCCATAGGTGTGGTGTTCAGTCCGAACGCCAGAAAGCGCTCACGAGGGCCTGATGACGGACCCTCACAGCCCACCCAAATACCGCGTAATCGGCACTCTGTCCAACTCGCCCGACTTCACCGAGCACTTCCAGTGTCCGCTGGGCTCCCCCATGAACTCAGGCCACCGCTGTGAGGTGTGGTGAACCGTCGCCCGCCAGACACCAGCGCGCTTGCACAGACCAGCCCGGCCAAAAACCGCTCCACGGACAGCTCTGGCTCTTTGTCAAGCGCTGTTTTTTATTTATGTGCTCCGAGTTATTTGAGGAGTCAGGCTGAAAGCAGGAGGATGAAGCGAGCGCCTGCCAACATTGATGTTCGACCCATATCAAATTCTCCTCCTCTTCAACCTTTTCGAATTTTATGAATGATTATTTTAGGTTCGAGTGTGTGTAAGGATTTGGAAACAAGCAGCGTACGGCTGTTTCTAAAGCATGCAGCGCCATCTGCTGTTCAAAACTACGCAATCGATCGACTCGAGAAAGAATCGCTATGCATTCAGAAAATCTCAGAATCGATGCGGAATCATTTCTCGATTCGCGATGCATCGATTTATTTTCCCAGCCCTAGTGTATACTAATATAGTTTTATTGATATTATTAAATTAATAAAAATTTATATTAACTAATATATGATGTAAGTCATATACAACCTTATTGTAATGTGTCACCGATATTTTAACAGACAATATTTATGAAGCAAATAAGGCACTTGCTATAAGGTATTATTATACTTTAGCTATATTAGCACGGCCTACTTTACCATACAGCAGTAATAAAAAAAACCGACACAATGCAGAGCTCTGATTGTAAAAACATGGTCTCAGATGCACGTTCCTCTGGCTCTCCTCCATAGGTGTGGTGTTCAGTCCGAACGCCAGAAAGCGCTCACGAGGGCCTGATGACGGACCCTCACAGCCCACCCAAATACCGCGTAATCGGCACTCTGTCCAACTCGCCCGACTTCGCAGAGCACTTCCAGTGTCCGCTGGGCTCGCCCATGAACTCAGGCCACCGCTGTGAGGTGTGGTGAACCGTCGCCCGCCAGACACCAGCGCGCTTGCACAGACCAGCCCGGCCAAAAACCGCTCCACGGACAGCTCTGGCTCTTTGTCAAGCGCTGTTTTTTATTTATGTGCTCCGAGTTATTTGAGGAGTCAGGCTGAAAGCAGGAGGATGAAGCGAGCGCCTGCCAACATTGATGTTCGACCCATATCAAATTCTCCTCCTCTTCCGCTGCCATATCAGACTCGCTTTATTTATTTGTTCGCTGGAATTGGGGGGCGCTAACACGCTTCTTACCTTGATTCACAACAAGCCCGATTCCTCGTCTTCTGATCTGGAAGATGCGAGCACCGCGATGCCACTGGGAACGCCTCACAGGAAATATTTGGCTCCATCTGCGATGACTTCACAGGAAGTTTCACGTTCTCGAGGTGACCTCACAGGAAGTGCTGAACTGCATCTGTGACCCCCTACAGGAAGGAAGAGCTTTCAAGGATGAAAGCCCATTTCCCAATTGTGATTTCATAGAAACGCTATCAAACGACAGGGAGAGCCACTGTTTGTTCGTCCGATCCTGTGTGTCATGTATTGATCTTGACAAAGTTGAAATGAAATGTTTGTTTTAAACTGCTTTTTGCCAAAGAACAATTTTAGGTTTGTTCCCTGTGTAAGTGGACGTTTGCACTGCTTCGCCTTCAGTAACTCCATTCCAGTGTAATTCCACTGTGTTTGCCTGCAGACGGTGACTTGTGTGTGAAGGATGTGTTTCCGTCTCCACGTCGTGCTGAACTTTGTCAGTTCTGCTGAAGTGTTGTCATGCTGCATTCTGAAAACCACTAAAAGGGTGAACCTCACCATATTTCACTCCAAAATTTAAAGATGATTATTATTATTATTTGTTTAAAAGTGTTATTGGAACTATTAAGAGTTTTTTTTTTTTTTTTACCTTAATTTAATGTCAATTTAACACGTTTTTCCCCGCAAATCCATTATATTTAATAAAAAATGATACTGTATAAATAATGCATTACAGTAATCAAATATTGTATATACATTATTTATTCAAATCTACATAAATCAGAGGTTGAACAAAAAAAATCACAAACAATTATGTATATATATATATATATATATATATATATATGTGTGTGTGTGTGTATATATATATATATACATATATATACATATATATGCATATACATATACATATACATATATTTACTAGGGGTTGAACGACTTCTGAATTGTGAGTTTATAACTCTATATACTGGGAGATAAAGTCGCAATCACCTTGTTTATATGCCTATTTTGGCGGAAATAATCTTCCATAGGTTTGGACTAACATGAGGTAATTTTCATTTTTGGGGGAATTATTACTTTGACCGCTTAGTCAGTCTTTCTTCATGTTGTCCATCAACACAGGTTTACTCCGTGTTGAGTTTGTTTAATGATTTGTTTGCTTGAATGATCTGACTGAACGCCTCCTGGTTTCTGCTTTGTATATTTATCAAATACCATGAATATTTTCCGGCTGCGTTACCGTTGATGGGCTCCACGAGGACTGTGGGGCAGATGCCAGTCTGAAGTTTTGCCATGGAGAGGCATTTGGTTTTGGCCTTAATTATTAAATGTAGACTTACGGAATACAACGTACATATATAGACTTAAAACACATTTTAAGTTCAAAGAAAAAACCCCATACAATGTATTGTTGGCTATTGCTACAAATATACCCCAGCGACTTAAGACTGCTTTTGTGCTCCAGGGTCACATATTTGCTCTAATTGATGGAGGTAATACAGGAAAAAGTGCACTCTCATTAAAAAAGGTGCATAATAACTGTGACTGGGTGGTACTAATACAGTAAGTACTTTTACAGTACTAATATGCACCTTTAATGTACTAATATGTACCATTTCGGGGCAAATAATGTACAAAGATGTTTTAGCTTTTGTAGCTTTTGCACCTTAGGCTACCGCCACATTACTACATGCCACATGACAAGCTTTTTTTCTGAGTGTGTGATAATTTTGTTTTGATTCTCTTGTTTTAAATGTGACTTTTCATAATGTTTCCGCAATGATTTGCAAAATTTTAAATAAAATCTGACAATAAAAATAATTATTAATTTTTATTACGTTTTTATTAGAATAAAATACCTGTAATATTAATAATTTTATATTACCTGTTCTTCGACATTAGCAGTTGCGTCTTTCAGAGGCCTTATTTTTCTCATAATGAACTCTGTTAGATATTGCTTTTAAATGATGTTGCTTGTTATTTTAGAGTTTTTTTTTTTTTAAGTTAGAGGCCAAGAAGCATGTTATAGTTAATATGCTAAAAGTATTAAGAGATATTTTATCAACAATTTAAAAAGTCAATTGTAAATAATCCACCACTAAGTTGTTGACTCATAACTGGTATCTGTGGGGTGTGGGCTGTATCACTTTTGATTTATGCAAATGTGCGCATATTTAATAAGATGATGCCACATTTTTAAATCAGTGCTGTCAAATGATTAATCGCAATTAACTGCATCTAAAATAAAAGTTTTTGTTTACATAATATATGTTTGTGTACGGTGTTTATTTATTATGTATATATAAATACACACACATACAGTATATATTTTGAAAATATTTACATGTATATATTTATATTCATATAATTTGTATTATATATAAATATTTCATATATATAAACATAACATTTTTCTTAAATATACATGCATGTGTGTGTATTAATATATACACGACACAGTACGCACACACATATATTATGTAAACAAAAACTTTTATTTTGGATGCGATTAATTGTGATTAATCATTTGACAGCACTAATTTAAATGGTTATGTTTTAATACAAACGTTTATTTTATTTATTTTAATCAAAATGTAACATTACAGGAATTATATCAGGATAAATTTGTTTTGTCTGCTTTACCGGTTAACTGCTTTACCTGTTCCTCTGAACTATTTAGGATGAAAACCTAATCTAAGCTAAGAAGGGGTAAGATGTCTCCTGACCTTTAGTTTTACACCTCCATGTCCATAGATGTTTATATATATATGGTTTTGCTCTTATTAATTTTGAAATGATATCCAAATGTGTGAGATTTATTCCTGAACTGTTTTGAGGTTAAACCATCTACTTTTGCTTTGCCTTCTCTCAGTCAGTCTATCACTGGAGTATTAGAATCTCACCTTTGCCATGAAAAACATTAATTTAATGATAGCTAGCAAATCACTATGTAATAATAATCATATTTATCTGAGCTTCCTTATAGTGTTTAGTCAGATTTTGCTGCTTTGTGCCCTTAGTGTTGTATAGACCTAATGCCTGTAAAAATTCCATTGGAGGCGAGCGTAGTGAGAACCCAAGTGCAGCTTTATTTAACTCCAAAATGTGACCAAACAATAAACAAAGACTTGACTTGACTTGGCATGAACAGACATAGCATGAGCAGACTTGACATAAACAAAACCAAGAACTCACCAACAGAGGTTACAGGCACAATACTCAACAAGAGACAATGGCAATATGAGGGCTATAAATACCAAACAATGAGGGTCACATGACAAAACCAACAAATGAGAAAAAAGACACATGAATAAAACAACCAATCTAGAATATCAAACTCTGTTCCACACTCCGGAGCAGAAGGTGGCAGTAATGCACCTATTTACGTCGGCCAGCCGCCCTTAAAAACCAAGAAGAAGAAGAAGAGAAGAAAACAACCAATCATGACATGACACATAAACAAGGCAAGAATACAGGTTAAGGCTAGAACGGATACGTATGGCGCTACTGGGCATGCGCACATCAATACAGCGTAATTTTTGTCACACTGTACAACAATAATTACTATTTTTTTCATTATTGTAAGGGGTAGGTTTAGGGTTGGGGTAGGTGTAGATGTTAATAAAACACAATCTAATAGGTAGAAAATTAATTTCATTGTTCGTTTCCGGTCTGAGCTGTATTCCTTCTAGCCACAACCAGGAATACATGAGGATCAAGGGAACCACATGACAAACCAGGAAACAGGACTAAACTACAAAATAAAAGACATGAAAACATGAACATGAAACAAAATCCACGTTACAATGCCACACACGACAAAATACAATCGTAATATTACATTCCAATGGTTTCTCATTAAATAAACTACCTCTTTCCTTTTACCTTCGCATATATTTATACTAACACAATTTAATTAATTTGATTCGAACTGCAAAACATAAAAAGCTGTTCATATGGAAATTCCTAGGGCTGTCATGTAATAATTTTTATTTATTTATTTTTATTATATGATGTGTCAATTAATTCGATTTAAGTATATTTAGAAATAAATATTTTGATTCAACACTGCATAGATAATGATAGTATATAAAAGCGCCAGTAGGTGACCTCAAGTCACTGTCATGAGTGAGTCATTCAGCCATTCATTCAACTGATTCATTCAAACAGCCGATTCATTCAGAAACACAAAGTGACTGTCTTTATGAATGACTCACTGAATCATAGCTCACTCGATTCATCAATTCATTCAGTAACGAAGCACTGTGTCGCTCGAAAAGGCTACAGTTTTGCTTTGGCTTTTTGAAACTATTTTTCTTTGCAAAATGCAAAAGCCGACAATTCTATGTCTAAAACTTTCGCAATCGTGCAGATGTTCGGGAAAAACAGCACTTTTGCTCGTGTGATATTGCTAAACTGTATCATACTGTGTAAATAAGTCAAAAATCAATAGAGGCTTTTTTTTGCCCTCATATCTTGAATTTTAGGGGCATAAACTGCATTCCCATAGGCTACATTACATAGTCAGTCATCATCCTGTATCATGTTTGTCAGCAACTGCATTAATATAAGATAACGTAGCTGTACAGATCTGGGAGTTGTTTTAATGCTTTATTTTCTTTGCATATAATCGCACCAAATGCACGTGTTAAATCAGCTCTAGAAATAACACCAGAGAAATATATAATTCAGTCATGAAACTCTTCGGAGCAGCTGATTGGTTTACTTAAAGCCGATTGCTTCATCCAATCATTTGTTTGCTTCTATCTACGTAACCTACTTATTCCTGACTGTATCGCAGCGCACCATGGGATTTCGCTAACCCTCCTTCTTCCCCAGCACCACCTGTCTAGATCTGCTCAGGGGGTTCTCCCTATTTTCCTTGCAGCAGTCTAAATTCAAGTCACTGTTTCATGTGCATTTCAGTATCCTTACCAGTATTCCTGTATCCTTATTCCTAGTCTACAAAGATCAAGCCTATGTACATTCCATGCTTACTAATAAATGCTGGTAAAATTCATTCCGAGAGTTGTCATGATTGAACTAAAACTAACACTGATAACTAAAGCATCTGATAAGATTGACACACTGATATTGTATTTCAGTCATTTATTACTGTTTGGTTCCAGTGTGTGTCTGTGTGTCCATATTTGCAAACGTGTGGAGGCTAGAGAGCATGCTTGATTAGGCATGAATTGATGTGATTTTTTAATTAATAACTGAAATAATGTTTACGCTGCACTGACAAAGCTTTCTTGAGAAAGGAAACATGCTGTTTCATAAACTGACACCAACATTTTGAACTGTAACCTAAGCTTCATTCACTAAAATTATCCTGCAGCAGAAAATCCCCAAATCCCATATGCTTTCATTGTACTTTTCTGGTGATAATTCCTTCATCTTTTCTAACTGATCTGATTTAGTTTTTTATGTAGTGGATGTTCAAAAAATCCCCCAAATCCCCTCAGACTTTCCTTGATGTTTGTCAGTAAAGCTTATATAATCCTCCAACTTTGAATGTTGGCTTGACAAAGCCTTGTCAGAAAGTTTAAAAACCTTTACAGTTTGTATCTGAGTTATATAAGCACCTGCTTCTGTATATTATTTTTAGGTAGTTTTAATTAAAGTGTATTATGAATAAATACAAATATGGGGAGATATTTTATTTTATTTTATTTTTAAGCATTGACTCCAAAACACAATGGTGTTCAAAAATCACATTGATATTACTGAAATCCTGATTTAGACCAGGTTTTATGTTGTAAACAATTAAAAGATGTTATAAAGAACTTTTATGATGTGCAATGAATAACAATAATAATCATAATCATAATAATAACAATAATAGTGAGTTGACAAAGCAACATTTTTAATTTACATTTTTTAATGTTTGTTAATTTTAGTTTATATTATTATTATTATTATTTCTTTATAACACCTCATACTACACAATCCATTTAGTAATAAAATCTATTTAGTTTTTAACATTACTTAGGCAGGATCAACTTCCTGAAATAATGAAATTATGTAATATGTTAAAACATGCATTAGTGAGACACCTGACCCAGATTTGCCCCTCAGACTGTTTAATTGGTGAGCGCTGCACTCACACTGGGGCTGCAACGGTCAACCAATGCAGAGAGGAGGAGAAGAGAGAGAGATCCAGGAAGGAAACTACAGGTGAGCAGAGAGAAAGAGAGAGATGAGATGCCAGATAACCCAGAAAACAACTGTTAGACATAGTTGACAGGAGGTCGGAGGCTAGAGAGCATGCTTGATTAGGCATGAATTGATGTGATTTTTTAATTAATAACTGAAAGAGAGTGTTTAATGCCATGTGATTTCATATTTTGTTAAAATGCAGTAACACTCATAGATTTTGTCATTCTAATTCTTCCAGTTATATGGAATATATTAGTGTTTATGTAAGTGTTTGTACTGTTGTTTGTACTGTGTATGATGGTTCTCTCAGGGAACCCAGGCTGTTTAGGGAGCTTTTCTAAGTACACAGTGCGCATCTTTAATTGGGTCATTTTATGCTCAGTGTTTCCTCTTCTGTATTCATTAATTAGTCATCTCACTTTATCTACATAATGATGTTCAGATTTATGTACACATTTATTGTGAGAACTATTTGACCCTCATGCTCTATTTGACCCAAGACCATTTACGTACCTCAAAACTATACTGAAATTACCAAACAGATCGATCCTTACAGTATTTTAAACTGCTAGTCAAAAGTTTGGAATAATTAAGATTTGTAATATTTTTAAAAAGTACCAAGGCTGCATTTATTTGATCAAAGATACAGTAAAAAAACTGTAATATTGTGAAATATTATTACAATTTAAAATAATTGTTTTGTATGTGAATGCTTTGTAAAATGCAATTTATTTCTGTGATCAAAGCTGAATTTTCAGCATCATTACTCCAGTCTTCAGAGTCACATGATCCTTCAGAAATCAGTATAATATGCTGATAAAGGAGACAGCCTATTAGTATTTTTATTCAGCAGTGACGTTAAAAAGGGACAGTAAAACATTTATAATGTTACAAAAGATTTCTATTTCAAATAAATGTTGTTCTTTTGAATTTTCTATTCATCAAAGCATCATGGAAAAAAAAAAGGTTTCTATCATGGCTTCTATAAAAAATATTCATCAGCACAACTGTTTTCAACATAATCAGCATATCATAATAAGCAGCAAATCAGCATATTAGAAAGACTTCTGAAGAATGGAGTAATGATGCTGAAAATTCAGCTTTACATCACAGAAATAAATTACATTTTAAAATATATTCACATGGAAATATTTTTTTAAAAATTGTAATAATATTTCACAATTTTGCTTTATTTACTATCACATATTTTTTATCACATAAATGCAGCAGAAGAGACTTCTTTCTAAAACACTGAAAAAATTTGATTATTTTAAACTTTTGTCCAATATAGTGTACATGCCAGATTTTGTATTTTTGGTTCTTTATTACAAAATAATAACTGTATCATTGCACCATGTTTTAAAGAGGGGCAGAGGATTCTCAGATTGGCGGTCAGAAAACACAGAGGTAAACTGGCTGTTTTGGGGTAATGATGAAAAGGAAGAAGAATTTAGTGGAGGACAGCACCACGCTTATCGCCCTCTCGGACCATCCTGAACAAACCTACGGGAGCATGGAGGTACACAACTGCCTGTGTTTTTTATATATACAGTCTTACTGGCAACCAAAATTGCCAGTAAGTTACTGTAAATTTACAGTAAATTTTTACAGTGTATTTAAAGAAGCATCAACACTTAAATGCCCTTTTAAAGAACCAAAATCAGATCTTTTTAGGTGTCCTGAACCAAACTGTCTGAAAGAACACTTTCTAATGCAGATTAAGGTCGGAGCTAAACGCTGCAGGAAAATGGACCTCGAGGACCATAGTTGAGAGCCCCTGATCTAATGTAATGTCTTTCTCCTGTTGTGAATGTGTCTCAGAAAGAGGTTGTGCAGGGAAAAACAAAGACTACTTATGTCCTTCTGAGTGCGCCCCCGCAATGTTCTGTGTTATTATGCCGAGGAGATCAGTCTTCGAGTGCCATTACAGGTAAATCGTACCTGATCTTTTATATCATAAAGTAAATTATATACTCAATATCTTACTGTCCTCCTCTATTGGGTGTTTTCAGGTTGTGACAACTCCAATATCAATCTGGTCTGAGAAGATCCTAGAAAAACTGCACATCCCAAACATAATGGAACAAGATGTTCCCAACCTTCCACCGGACTACTACACCTGCCAGTTCCGCAGCAATAAACTAGAGAGGTACTGATCCAAAAAAAGGACAACATCTTTCTCTTTTAGGGTGCTACTGGTCATCAAATGAACATTAGTCATGTTTCCATCCAAAGTTTACAAATTAAACTCATAGTGAACGTGATCCCATCGTAGTTTATGTGCATGTGTTCTTACCGAAAAAACAAAAAAATGATCTACCTCAACTGAGCACATGCATTTTTATATGTATTTTAAGATTTTATGCGCATCTTGCATTTCCGTCCAATGTTTTTTTTTTTTTTTATGCAGTACCCCAAAATTTGCATACAAATACGTGGAGGAAAACTATTGACAGCCCCACTTCAAGAATATGCACCTCTACACAGTTTAACAAGTCGGTGTTTTGTGAACAAAGGAAGTAAGCTTAAAAAACAGTAAAACATGTATCCAAACCCTGTGTGCTTGACAAAGAGGATCTGAGCCTGTCATGTAACATGCGGTTCATACACTTTAGTGTTTGCAGAGAGTCAGCACCTCCTTAAAGACAAACACATCACACACTCCCAACACACACTTATGCAAAGTGCTTGCTGTGTCACGTGACCCATATATTTACTCACACACACCTACCAACAATTTTGTGCATTTTTGTGGCCCAGGGGTTAAATTATATTAAAACTTTTTTTTTGTTAAATAAAAAGTAATATTATTGGTTAAAATATAACTAATATAATGTATTGACATTTTCAACACAACCAGCAAGTTTGCCCTAATAAAGTTTTGTTTTTTTTCAAAAGTTTTGTGAAAAATTTTTATTGTTTTGTGAAGAGCTCACATGTGAGATGCGAGGTCTCATGTGTAAATATCTTTTTTACTGTGCATTTTTACTGTACTATTTTTACTGTGCATTTCGAATCAAGCTTTTGCATGAACATACACTGTTATAAAGAGAGTGTTTACTAGAATACGTTATCTTGTTTAATGCTGCTTTTAGGTTTCTTGGTCATGAAAACAAGGACACTTTTTTCAAGACCACACAGAGGCACCAGATAGTGAGTTTTGAGCATTTTTTTCCTGAAATTTAAGGTGCACTAAGAATTTGTTTCTTTTGCTAAGTGATACGAGAAGGCTTGAGCTTTAGGGTTAGGGTTAGATGCAGCATTGCGTGAAAGTTAGCACTACCAAATCCAATGTAGAAAGATTCACAAGCATGTTTGCATATTTGTCACCCGTGATTCATTTATTTCACACACTGGTAGTATTTCACAGATTTTCTGCAAGGACAACCATGATGCATAGCATATATCAGCTTTGTAGGCACTGACATGAAATAAAAAGCACTATTCGTTTTCTTACATGTACAAAAAAATACTTAGTGCACTATTAATGTCTGTACAATGGACAAAATTATTTTTCTTTCTCTGTTAAGCTGTTCACACTGATCTGTCCGTTTTCTGTAATTTCCTTGTTGGAAAGCTGTATGAGATATTAGCCAGGACTCCATATGGATCGTTGAAGAGAGGGGAGGTTGGCATTGGCAGGCTGGTTAGTGAGCATGTTCTCACTGCTGCTTTTCCTTTACATGAGGTACTGTAAGAGTCTTCCACATACTATCTGAACATTACCTTAACAAACACACCAATTATGTGTGTTTCTCTCTTTGTTTACATATGTATGCAGCACTACTTAAAGCCAGCATGAAATCAAACTGATCTCTCTTTATGCATGTTCCTTCATTCTTAATGCATTTTCTGCATGTTTACAATCGTTGTATAGTCTATGCATGCACTGTTTTATGTTGATTTTGAACAGCTGATGATTTGTGTTCTTCTCATTAGGGTCCATCTGAGATGCCGAAGACTCCAGTAGATCCACAGTCTCTCAACATGAGACAGATCCTGCATCATTACTGGGCTCGCTGGGCTTGCTGGAGGAAGTACCAACCTCTGGATCACATTCGTGAATACTTTGGCGAGAAGATAGCACTTTACTTTGCATGGTTGGGTAAGGCAGAACATACATTTAGTTTATACCAAGACATAAAACATGTAAACATGTTTTATCTTGTATCTATTATATTTTTTGTTATTATATTATTTTATAATGTTATTTATTTGCTATTATTACTATTATTATTTATTTATTTGTATAATACATAGTTTATCATAAGTACATTTTATAATAGTGTTACATTAGTTAATTACATTGATTGCATTGAACTAAGGATGGAAATACTTTTTAAGCATTTTTTATTTGTTATTTCGACATTACTAAAACATAATTAAAATAAAAAGTTATATATGTTAATATTATTTAATGGGTTTGAGCTAACATGAAACAACAATGAACAGTTGTGTTTTCATTAACTTTAATTAACATTAGCAAAGAAGAATAAATGCTGTAACAAATGTGTTGCTCTTTATTAGTTCATGTTAGTTGATGCAAAGTGTTACTATAAATAGTACGAATTAATAAAAAATAAAAAAAAAGACATGTAAAGTAAAAATGTAACAAAAAGTTTGTTAACTAAAACACTCTACAGTTTTCATCATAACGTCTCAGTTACGTATGTAACCCTCGTTCCCTGAAGGAGGGAACCGAGACGTCATGTCGGTGACCGACGAATTGGGATCCCAATTCGCCGGTGACCGACGTGACATCGAGAGTGACCGACTGAAAGGGAACAGGCTATGACTAACTTTCTGTCCTTATTTCTCTTGTCTGTAGGTTTCTACACAGGCTGGTTATTACCAGCAGCAGTAGTGGGCTTTATAATATTTCTGTTTGGTATCTGGCTGGTGGTAACTGATGTGGCAGCGTGAGTATTATCACAGAATTGTTAATAACATTAATAATGTTGCTGACCTAGCACTGATTCTGACCCCACAGAGAAGAGCTGTGCACCAGTGGAGACACCTTTGTCAAGTGTCCGCTATGCAACATCTGCAGCTACTGGAACCTCTCCAGCATCTGCTATACTTATAAGGTGACATTCCTACAAGTTTTTAAATTATTTATAGCATTTTAAATAAGCTAAAAATAACTTTCCCTGCGAACTAGCGATCACATTTTGTTCTTAAAATACTTGTTCATAAATTTGCAATAGGCAGGCTTGCTATTTGACAATGGAGGAACTGTGTTCTTCAGTATATTCATGTCTCTGTGGGCCGTCACCTTCCTGGAGTACTGGAAACGCACAAGCTCCATACTCTCCCACCGATGGGACTGCTCCGAATTTGAGGAAATAGAGGTGATTAAATTGGTTACAAAGTGTCTTAACCTTTAATATTTACTAGTCCTCAAACTTGAGCAATGCTTTACCTCTTTTGCTTTCCATAATATTTCCATTCTGATGTTAGGAGAGGCCAAGACCAGAATTCACAGCACTGGCGCCCATGACGGTTCGTAATCCTGTCACTGGGGCTGAAGAGCCCTATTTTCCAGAGACTCAACGACTGAGTCGTACTCTAACTGGTAACATGGTCATCATTCTAATGGTTAGTCAATGGATTTCCATCTCACAACTGTTGAGAAATCTTCAGTAATCCCAAAAATTTCAAAATCATTATCATGATTCAATTTTATTCCTTGTGCTTGCAGATTGCCATCGTTTTGATATTCCTAATAGCCATTATCCTGTATCGAACCATCCTAAGCATCATTATCTACAGATCACAGAATGCCTTCTTCATATTTTCAGTAAGTTTCTTTCTATTTCTTTTGATACCTGACCAAATTATCTTGTGATACCTGAACAAATTATCTACATAGGGAATAAAGTTTATGAAGTGACTGTTGCTCAGGCATCTTTTAGATTCCCAGATAGCAACATAGTGTCGGCCCAGATCCGGCCCACATCTGGCACATGTGGAATGATGATCTGGCCCACATGTAGCGTGGAATGATGGCACTTGGGCAGACCCCTCCTGTTTGCCAGATCTGGGCCAAAAGCAGGCCATAGCAATGCCACATGTCAGCCAAGAGCAAAGAAAAACCACACTGGACCTTTTCTGAGGCACAAAATCTTCATATATTATTTATAGAGTCCTCTCAGCTTGTCTAAGCTTGTTAACAAGCAAAATCACTGAAGGAAAGAAGAGAACAGAAAAAAAGAGACAAACAGAAACACAACAACAACAACTGACTGCAGCCACAGCCTTAGATTAAATCAGCTGAAGATAAAAGACATTAAATCTCTGAAGATCTCAGCAGAGGAGGATTAAACAACTCCACAAACAGCATTTCCAGCTTCACTTATTACTAATCAGATTGACTTGATGTTAGAGGTCTACATAATTTCTTATTGAGAATTAACAGGTGTTTAAATCTAACGTTTGTTTCATTTGAAGTCACCATAATGGTGATTGGTGTTTCCATTAATTGGGCTCATAACATCCCCACCAGCACACTGTGGTCAACTGCCTCCTAGGCCCTCCAGTTCCTACCTGTCCTCACATCTATACCAGCTGAAGAAGCTTTGGTGTCAGTGGATTCTCTGTACAGCATCACCTCTCCCGCTCGAGAAACCATGAACTCCTCCACCAGGCTACTGAAGGGGAGTTGTAGCTTGTTCTTCACCAGGTGGTATGCCTTCCAGGGCCCCACTCAGGACCTCCAAGAAAGACAGACACTCTGATCTGTGGTTCTGTGTGTAAAGACAAAACACAGTCAGAGCCTTCCCCTCCAATGACACAAAGTTGTAGTTAGTGGACCCTCTCGTCTACCAGGCTAAACTCCAACACAGTGAAGCAGAGTTGGGGACTTGTGAGTATTCCCACCCCTGCTCGGCACCTCCCACCCTAAGTGACTCCAAATAAGGAGTGAGCGCAACTTCTATCCAGGAGTTTGGTTCCAGAGCCAGAGCTGTGCATAGAAGTGAGGCCAACTATATCTAGCTGGTAACTCTCAACCTCCAGCTTCTTCCCCACCAGAGAGGTCACATTCCATATTACTCAACCAAGGTCCTTATGGCAACCTGCGAGCTCCTCTCCCAGGCCTGGCTCCAGAAGAGGGCCCTGGTATCCCTATTCTGGTCTTTTGGCCAGGGTCTCACTGTTCTGACTCATTCTGACCCAGGGAGACCTTACCAGGAGTCATGGAGGCACTCAAATCCCTCCAAGGGTGGGTCATTAAAATGATGTTATCTGTAAGTACAGTTTTTAAAAATATATTTAAGATTTGAAGTACTCTAAATTATTGAATTGTAGTGTTTGTCAAGTTTTTTAGGTTTTCCCATTCAGCTCTGCCCAAACTTGATAAACGGCTTTTAAGTTTTGAAGGACGCAAGAGGACAACTCATCTTTACTGTTTTTATTTTTCTTCTTCTTGCAAAGGCTGATAGTAGAAGCAGCACAGTAGCTGTAATTGCAGTAGCAGAAGGTTGATAACCTTTAAAAATAGATACAAACTCAAAATATGCATTAATATAAATGAAGATATTTAAGCTAATATTTCACGTTCCATTGAATTCAACATCAACATATTAACTATAGTCAATTAAAGCAGATCAAATAAATGGGTTTCATTTATAACATAAACTATAATGTCGACAAACTTAAACCTTTCAAATCATGTAATTGTTCTCAAATTTCAACATAAATCAAACATCAAACTTAGCATCGATCAGCACTGTAACAAATTCCATCAAACAAAATCCACATAATTTAAACACAATACTGACATTTCACAACTTCAAAGTTGATACTTGACATCAACACAGATGAAAATGTTAACAATGTTCATACCAGCTGCGTCTTCAGGGTTGAATTTGAGCTGTATGGGTGAAAGTCCTTCGTTTGTCAATGAAGACCTTCTCCAAACTTTTCACCTCCATGTTCTCTTATGCCGCGTTCACACTGCACGATTTTCAAACTCGTTGGATCGTGTCGGCGAGTGAAAAATCAGGCTAAAATCGTGCAGTGTGAACTCGGCATTAGAGGTGCACCATTTTATTGTTCCCCCCTGGAAACACACCCTTACAGGTTCCATCTCAGCAACCACACTGCACTGCCCTCTGCAGGAATTTCCTGTTCTTCTTTTTCACAAGCAATGCTCCACAATGCAAAAGTTCCAAACCTGCCTAGATGTAGGAATGGCAAAGCAACCATTAAACAGTAGAGGAGAATGGAGTATAGCAAAGGGTCTTGGAATGTAGTAAATTTGCTAGGTTTCTCGTTCAAGATTAGCCAGATTAGCCAACTAGCTTGGACTAGCTAGATTGTACCTACTATAATTGAAAAGTTGTCGCTAACGTTTAAAGTTGATGTAAAATAACCATTGATTAGATCAGATATTGCAGCACAATTTTTACATAATATTTTGCTTACTAAGAGAGCTTTTTCACCCCATAGGCTGGAAGGATAGCTAGCCTTACTGGTTCTATGCTAAATTTGCTGGTTATTCTATTGTTGTCACGGCTTTACACTTACCTGGCCCAAATTCTGACACGATGGGGTAAGCTATTTTATATTTACACGTACTATTTAGGTGTTTCTTTACGCAACAACAAAGTATTATCCACTTCCTTCTATTAGAAATGCACCGCACCCAGACCAAATATGAAGACGCGTTCATTCTCAAGGTCTTCATCTTCCAGTTTGTCAACTTCTACTCATCTCCTGTTTACATTGCGTTTTTCAAGGGCAGGTGGGTAGCTATGCAGTACGAATGAATGAATATGTATGAAGATTCAATATTCATCTAATATTTGATCTGTTCTACAGGTTTGTTGGATACCCTGGTAACTATAACACACTCCTAGGAATCCGAAATGAGGATGTAAGTGTTTACATTGTTGGAAAGCAACACTTCTACCTTTTCACTTGTTGGAATAAAACACAATTTACACTGTCAGCCATATCTAAATACGCAATTTTGCAATATTTCCCCCACAAAAATAAAATGTGACAAAATATGCAGATTCAGGAATATAAATAACTCTTAATTTAATAACTTAATAACTTGGTTCTGTCCTTGTTTTATGCAGTGTGGTGCCTCTGGATGTCTCAGTGAACTAGCTCAAGAGCTGTTAGTCATCATGGTAGGCAAACAGGTCATCAGCAACATCCAGGAATTTGTCTTGCCGTAGGTCTTTATGTTCAATGCATCTTCTTAAAGAGCTTGTCTACACATTGTTATAGATAAAGAATTAGGCCTGAGATTTACCCCTCTCTTTCAAACAGTAAATTAAAGACATGGTGGCACAGGAGGAAACTGAAGCCAGCTCCCAGTCAGGAGGTGATAGATGAACCAGACAGCAAGCCAGAGCTCAGCCCATGGGAAGCAAACTATCAGCTGCTGGTGTGTGAGGGGCTGTTCGATGAGTATCTGGAAATGAGTGAGTCCTTATGTCTCTTGTATCTTATTTAGACTGAATTTTAGATGTACAAATATTATGTTATTATATGATATATGTTAAAATAGTTGCTTTCTGGATATATTTATATTTTTTGGGATATATTTTAAAATGTAATTTTTTCCTGTGCTGCAAAGCTGATTTTTCAGCATCATTACTGCAGTTTTCAGTGTCACATGATTCTTCAAAAATCATTCTAATATGCTGATGTACAATACATTTCTTTTTATTATCGATGTTACAGATGTGCTGCTTAATATTTTGGGGAAACTATGATACATGTTTTTTTCATCTATGTCAGATTAATAGAGAATTTGAAAGATCATCATTTATTTGAAACTGATTTTTGAAACCATGCTTTTTTTTCTGTAATTTTTGATAAATCTAATGCATTCTTTCGGTACAAAATTATTAATTTCTTAAAAAAAAAAATCGTACTGACCCAAACTCTCTCTATGTAAATGTATGCAAATAATTTATGTATTTTAAGATCGATCTCTTATGATCAGACACATTTGTATGTATTAGATATTCTGTTGATTAAATAATATATACATGTTATATATTTTTTTAAATACAAAAATATTGTTTTATTACTTGTTGTTCAGTGAATGCAAGTATCCTGGTCTTCATTCTATTAGGGCCACACTTCATCCAGTCAGTGGCTTATTGGCTCTGACATTTCAGCTATTATGATAACAGTATTTATGCCCTGTCAGATTAGTAAATTCACATCTGAACTGCTTTAAACTGGTTTATGTGCTTTGTCATCTTGTCATTTTATTAAATAATTTATAATGTCCCAGTTTCATGTTTAAAATCCCAAGTTGTAGGCCTATTATGTTTTATTCTTATTGTGGCTTCTAATTTTGATTACATTTATAGTATGCTTTTTTTTTTCTCATTTGAAACAATATATATTACCATCATGTCAAAAACTACATTTTGGTGGCTTTCAAATTGATTGTTCTTTTATGAATTGGCTCTGCTCTGTCACTGTCTCTGTCACTCTTTGTTTAGTGAGTGTACACGATGTATTATAACATACATCGTTCCGCAAACAAAACCGTGTTTTAAAAATTTTTAAACTCTGGAGTGTTGCTAATACAACCTATTTTCAGCTCCCTAGACTTTTACGTTTATGTGTTCCATTAAAATTTTGATTTAAAAAAGTCGTTACTTTTATAAAACCTGCAGAAACCCTGTATACACAGCTGAAGAAAATTAGACGGTGTTGCATCTCAAGTAAGTTTATCTTGTTTTAAGGGCTTTTTGTCAAATGTCGTAATGTTTCTATTGACTAGACATTAATTTCACAAAACCATCAGTGTCCTTTTAATAATGGCTCATACTGAGATCAGTGCAAAATCACTTATGTGCATCGCTGACATAGAATGATGCGCTTCAGTAATCTAATATTGTATATGATATATTATATTAAATGCAACAAATGACAGTAAAATTCAAAGTAATCCATTCAATAATTGAAACTGAACCATTTTAACTCTGTTACTCCTCAACCCTGCTGTGCATCTTTGGCACATTTCTTAGATCAGTCTCACAGTGTGTTCTGCTTGGCCCTGCTATCACTGTTAGTCTGATCAACGCTGAATTTTTAGCTTATTTACAGCTTTTGATGTCCAACGATTTCAGTCCAAAATAAAGTTAATTAGACAGGCAGCATATCTTGTTTGATGCCTTGTTCTTTTGCCAGGCTTTCCTGATTGCCTTCACGTCTGATTTCCTGCCGCGGCTCTTTTATCGCTATATTACAGGCAGCATGAGAGGATACGTCAACTTCACCCTCTCAGCAGCCCCTGCAAACTTCACCCAAAGACACATGACATGCAGGTGAAGATCAAACTGTTTCTATAATGCGCTACTGTTCCATAGTTTGGAGTTGGTAAGATTGTTTCATATTTTGAAAAAAGTCTCTTCTGCTTACCAAGACTGCATTTATTTAATAAAAATACTGTTACAGTAATATTGTGATATGTTTAAAACGATTGTTTTCAATTTGAATATATGTTAAAATGTAATTTATTGCTGTGATCAAAGCAGCATTACTCCAGTCTTCAGTGATCCTTCAGAAATCAGTATAATATGCTGATTTGCTGCTCGAGAAACTTTTTTGATTATTATAAATGTTGAAAACAATTGTGCTGACTTTTTGTGGAAACCATTATATATTATTTTCAGAATTATTTGACGAATAGAAAGTTTGAAAGAACAGCATTTATTTGAAATAGAATAGAGATCGAAATAGAGATTTTTGTAACAAAGTACAGTACGTTTTTCCTGTCACCTTTGATCAATTTAATGCCAAATAAAAGTATTAATTTCTTTACAAAAGGAAAAAAAAAATCTTACTGAGCCCAAACCTCTGAATCATAATGTATATTTGTAGTAGTGTTTTATAAAATTAAATGTGCATACAAACATGTACCACTCTATAAAACACCTGGAAATCACACCATTAAAGGTGGGGTAAGCGATTTTCCAAAAACGCTTTAGAAGAGATATGTAAGGTTAGTAAAGACAAAGAGGCTGATTAATGGTATGTTTTTTTTTTTTTTTTTCCAGATATCGAGGCCTCAGAGATGATAAAGGACAGCCCACACAAGATTACTATAATTTGCTGGCCATTCGACTGAGTTTCGTCATTATATTTGAGGTGCACGGTCTAGTATTATTTTGGACAAACATCCTTTTCTAATTTTTGCACATACATTTGTTCTGAAAATGGGTCCATGATGTTACTTTCTAATACTAAAAACATTTAGTACAGTATTTAAAATGTATTTTACTTTTAGTAGTAATTTTATTTAATTATGAAATTACTACTAAAAGTAATAAAGCAATAAGCCCCAAGAAGCCGTGGTTTACAGTGAATTTATAACAGCTAAGGGGCGTTGTTAGGCACGACGTATACGTAGTACGGTTTCACAAAATAAAACAGAGCAAATAAAGTGTAATGATATTAATAAAAATAGTATTCTTCCACCAAACAATGTAGTTCCTCAGAATCAGTTGTGGTTGCAACAAAGTGGTTGCTGAGCAACACGCAAACGTAAACAAAGGTGTATGTTTGTAGAGTAATTTACGTCAGCTTCGAACGTGGCTCAGCCAATCAGAATCAAGGACCGGAACTATCCGTTTTATAATATACATTTTATGTACTGTAAATGTTTTTTGTTTTTTAGTATAAAGTGCCTTACGATTTGATATAGATGATTATAAAAATGAAGACAGAACACAATTTTAATTTATGATGTTTTTTTTTTCCCCCAGCATGTTGTTCTCCTGATTGGGCGTATTATTGACTGGATGGTGCCAGATATTCCCGAGGAGGTGGAAATTAAGATCAAACGAGAGCATTACATGGCCAAAGAGGCACTGGCTGAGAATCAGGTGAGTTTTCTATAGACCATTATAGATGGATGCAATTGTAATGAAAAATATATTAGAATTAATAATAATAATAACAACAAGCAATAATTATTCTAATCTAATCTAATCTAATAATTAAAGCATTTTGCAATTTTAAAGCAAGTGTTTTTCTGTGTTTATTACATATTTCCCCTCATGTCGTTCCTCAGTCTTTGAGTAGAGCTGTCCTGGAGGAGAAGGAGAGGCAAATCTCTGAGCTGCGACACAGAGTCCTATGAACAATATCTCGTCTCCCTCCAGTCCATCTCTGAACAGAACATGAAGACAAACCTACAGTCTGACACTCTGATATCTGACGCTTTTTATATACTAAGCAGGTGATTCTCTATATGTATAGATGATTTTGTAAACTGAACTCTAAAGGCATTATAAAATAATGGTTCAGAGACCTACCCTGCATCCTAATTTTAACGCTGTCTTAAATTACACAAGAATCAACCACTGTGTCTCACATTATGCTATGTTGAAAATAGTATGCGGAACATCCTTGGGTTATATACGTATATATTAAAAAACTGACCAAATAGAAATGTCCCATCCAAACGTCCGCTTCTAGTGCATATGTAACGGAGGCCAGCAAGTAGGTGCTGTGCAGGTAAACCTCACTCCCCTGATCTCAAGAGACGCACTAGCGACTGACGCTAGAGGCTGCAGCCATTTAGCCTCCTTGTTAGTGCGTCCGCCTCCCATGCCGGAGACCCACTCGGAGTGAGGACGAGGTGTGGCGGAGAGGACCCGGGAGAGAGGGGTTACACATAGTGTAAGTGAATTGAGACACAGTCGTTCACATTTCACTGATGAATGTAACTGTAGTTCCCTCTGCTGGTCAAAGGATCATACATGATTAAAGAAGGTCGAATTATGTTATTTGCTTGTTGTTGTTTTGATATACAGTTTGGAGAAAAAAGAATGGTCAAACAAGTTAGCTTAAGTTATAATTCAAAGGACTGTAGCCCATTGCAAATACTGTTCCATGTATTCTTAAAAGATCATGACTTTTAAGCAAGTTAGATATAAGAAATAAAAGTAATAAACAATGTCGTATTTTAGGCCCAAATGTTAATAGAATGACAACAGAAAGACTGACTGAAGTAATCAGATCAGTCACCTTTCCTGGTTATTGATTATTTAAACTTTAGTAGTTTCCCTGCGTTCAGTGTATGAATGATCAACTTTAACAACTCGACTAGAGGTCATTTTCTTTCATCTCAAATATGTGCCACTAAAAATGATGGTAAAAGCAGCATATCTACAGCAGTAAACCTGTTTTTCAGTGTTGGATCTGCTGTAAGTAGGACACACACTGGAAACACATCAAATGCATACTAACAAACAGGGACGTGTACAGACATTTGGAGGGACAGGGGTTCAAGTGGAAAAAAAGGGCACTTCTCATATTTATTTACATTTTTTTTCTAAACAAAACGTTAAATATATTAGGGGTGTGCGATATTGACAAAAAAAATATATATCAATATTTTCTGAGATTTGATCAATAAATATAATTACTATGAGTAAAATAATAGTATTAGTAATAGTGTTATTGTTCTGATATCTTAAGGACTGCCGTGGACAGCTGACTCCTAAAGTTTTTGATATTCTTCATATTCTGTGTGGTGATCAGTTCACAGCAGTGATAGAAGTTAATCTTTTCCAATAAGTTTAAATAGATTTTTACCCTTTTATGGGCATTTTTTTTACCTTTATACAGCCATTTTTTTTCTAAAAGTGTGCATCATCTTTTCAGTCAAATTCTTAAATTGAATCAGTCAAGTAGAATAATAAGTCATTTGGGCTGTTACCAAGCAAATGAAATCAGTATTGACAAAATTAATCTTTGCAACGCAGAGGAAACACAGAAGCTGCGTTAGAAGTAGCCAGTAGGTGGCAGCAAGTCACTGTTAATAAGTGAGTCATTGCGACTGAACCGAATCGTTTAAACGGTTGATTCATTCAGGAACAAAACAGCGGCATGTTGCTCAGAGACGCAAATTGGAATTATATTTATTGGCGAAATAGAGCAAAAACAGTCAATATTGTGTCTAAAACGTAAGTGTTTTAATGTGAAATTCTTGTTTATTGAACTGCTGTATAAAACCAATATCACAATTGTAATCATGCTGCTTTTGGTGGAAAAAACGTCAGTCGTCGCGTGATACTGATTAACTATATGAAATAATATAATTATATACATTTCTGCCCCCATATCTTGAATTTTGTGATCATTCTAAATGCATTTTAGTAAACTGAATCATGCAGTGAAAGAACGTGGACTGGTCTAACCTATTAGACTTCATATTGCCTTAGCTAAACTTTAGCTAACTTACTTGGTAGCTCTCTCATGAGTCATGGATGTTAGCAAGACAAATTAACTATAATTGCCTTTTGTCTTTTGGATAATTAGCTGTAAATTCGGGGCACAGGTAGCTTATGGTGCATTCAAGTCATGTCGGATAGATCGTATTTACGAGTTGAACGCACATGAACGCCACCACAAAGTCGTTATTATGAGTGGGAAACTCGAAATTTTCTTTAAGCCCCGAGTTTCCGAGTTGGGGGCGTGTCAATGAGAAACATGGCGGAATCGATGGATGCAAGGTCTGTAGTTGACGGTAAATTTTTGTTTAAATTGATAGTTTAGTTGTCCTATAAACTTAAACTGGTCATGTTCTTGTTACGCAGCTAGTTTATGAAATCCAAGTAAAAAAATTCTATCGTTTTTGCACCTATAGGTGAAAAATCTTTTGATTTGCCATGTTGCATGTTTTAAAAATATTAAAAACGCAAAACACACCTGATGCAAATTCTTTGCTCTTCATTTTCTATAAGCAGAGCCTGTTGTATTTTCTTGTAATTTATTAAAAGAAATAATAATCCCCATCTTGTGGGGACTAAACTGACTTGAACGCATCTGACGTAGACCCGACCTGATATTTAGATTTTTTATTTGTTTGACAGGGAAAGCTGTGCGCAAACAGAAACACACACACACACACACACACACACACGTGCACACATATACACATTTTCATTTATAAAAAAAAAAAAACACTCCCCAGAAAAAAGGGCACTTTCTCTCGAGGAAGAAAAAGGGCAGGTGCTCAAGCCCCCTTTGATGTATATGTGTGCACGTGCCTGCTAACAAATATCCTTAAACTTTAACACATATCTGAAAAAATGTGTGCAGCTGTGTTGGCCATTTATGGCAGCAATGCTGTGTTATCTTGTGAAAAACTGCTGGTTTTGTGTGATCCTTCAGCTAATCCCTGCTGAAAAACAAAACAAAAAAACAACAATAGACACCATCACAAAATTTGTAATGATTTTACTGGTTATAATGGCACTTGTATTGGTTTTAATGGAAACTGTAATGAACCTTGTTGGTTTCTATTGGTGGCTTGTTAAAACTAATACATCCTAATGGAATATGTCCCAAAACACACTACAGAAAACTATTTTTTAATGTTTTAATGGTTAAAAGTTGATGGTTTGTAATGTTTGTAATGGTATTTGAAGTGGAAACCATTAGACTGCTTTCTTTCTTTCTTTCTTTCTTTTAATGGTCTCTCTGACTGTATCTCAGGCTTCCCGCCTATGAAACATTTGACTATTAAGCTTTTAAAACGTATTTAATCTTCTGGCAACGCTTCATCAAACCAATATCAAATGAAGAAGAGCATTTTTAACTCTTTAATGTGCGTTCTTCTATAGCTTGATCTGGTACAAAGCTAGCAGTCCACAGTAAAACCGAAGGACTTTTATTTTGAAAGGCAGTTCTGTCATTGGCGCTCATGGCTTCACATGCGCGAGTAGGAGGGCGCAAAATATTTTGGGGCCTAACGTTAGAAATAAACAAGTAAGTGTGAATTTGTAATACAATTTAAATTTTAACAACTAAGGCGTTAACTGCTTTTAATAATGAAAGGTTTACATCAATGTTACCCATACTCTCACTTCCACAAAGTTGCTAGTTCGTTAGCCTCCGGATGTGAGTTAGCATAATAACATATAAAGTAATCAGTTCATTTGGACGCAATCTAACAATGTATTTGAATTGAAAAGGCTTATAAAATAAGCATTTTTGGACGTCTTGTGGTATAATTCGCACAGGTTAATGTCATATATAAATTGTGCATGAGAACTGATGTTTAGACCATGTAAACAAAACTCTCAAAATCTTTTTACTTAACAATTCGTTGCTGTGGATGTTTTAATATAGTAAAAGTTACACCTATGACATATTAATTTTAAAATTAATAGCTAGTTAACTATTTGATGTGCATGATTGCAGACGTGTGATGGTTACTGAGGTATTGATTTGCTGATCTGAATAAGCAGTTCATATGTAGAAGTGTAATTTGAATGAATGAGTTCTCAAGCTTTGCAGTCTCATGAAAACTCTGTATGTTGTGTATATTTTCCCATGCAAATCCTGCCGTGCTTCGATCGTGGAAACCCTGAATCTAATGCAGTGCATTTCTAGGCCATACTCTTGTTGTAGGTAATAATTGTTGCTGTTGTTTTGTCTTTCAGCTGACTGTCATATGCTGCTCTTGAACCCGAGAGAGAGAAACCTCACACACTGACGTATAGAGACGGGCCGCAGAATGCCGCCTGTGTCTGGACTGGACACTGGTCCGGTTGAAGAAAGCTCCGGGGGTCTTAAACGTTCAGACTGCCTTTGTCCAGTCTGTCTGGACATATTCCTGGAGCCCGTCACTTTGCCCTGCATGCACACCTTCTGCAAACCCTGCTTTCTGGAAACCGTGGACAAATCCAACATGTGCTGTCCGCTTTGCCGAAAACGCGTGTCCACTTGGGCGCGACTCAACAGCCGCAACAAGACCTTGGTGAATGTGGAGCTGTGGAGACGCATACAGGATGCTTTCCCCACTCAGTGTGAGCGGAGAGTGCAGGGAATCGAGGACGACGATGATGCTGGTACAGAGCGTAGCTTGATTGAAGCAATATGTGCTGATTTTAAGTTTCACTTTCGTGCATTTTGCATTGATTTTAATTACTTGTGCAATCTTTTTTTCCACAGTAACGATTCCGAGACCTCGCGTGTGTCAGCCGGGAGAGGTGAGGAAAGAGTATGAGGATCAGATCAGTAAGGTGAGAGATTCAGGACGGTTAAAATGCATTGGATTTTTAGCCAGTGAAAGGGCAGTTGCACCTAACTGAATGCACACTATTACAGAGTGATTTTATATCACTGTATTTCTGAAGGAAACCGACTGTCTTCAGAAAATTGGATGTCATTTTCATTTAATCTTGCATGTAATGTCTGATAAAGCAGTGTTTTTTTGAGCGGAACGCTGCTTTGTGTACAGCCGTTACCGGGGAAACCTTGATCTCTACCATAGACTGTATAAAAACATGGACGTAGTGTCCGTGACGTCACCCGTAGGGTTCCGAAGAGAGTTTTTGAAGCTCAAAAGTGGGCGGAGGCGGCCGTCGCCATCTTGGCAGCACGTCACCGCGCGTCACTCCCGGATAATCGAAGATGGGCAAAGAGGCGGGAGCTGGTTGTTGAAACCACGCCCACCTAG